TGAGGGATGAAAGTTCATCCCACGAGTCTCACCTTAAGGTCGAGGATAGTCCTGAATTTATCGTCAAGTCGGCTATCGAACAAATCTGAATCGGTCCTTGATAAAGACTGGATTAACCTACTTTTTTCGCGATCGTCCAGAACTGAATTATCGTTACGATTATCGATTCGAAACGGTTGTCACTCGTCCTTTTTTTTTTTTTCCACCGGACTCTGATTACTCGAAATGAAAAGAATTGATGATAATTTGCCGTAAATAAAAATCAGATTATCGTGTCTATGGATTGAAGGTTTATTTGAATTTTTCCTTTCTTCAGAAGGTAACGTGGAATTTTCTACGAATGTGTGTGCAACACTGAATTAATGGCTACCTTCTCTATCTGAACCATCGAGGGATTTAATAGTTCAATTTTCAGACTTCACCCGGAGGGTGACTATTACCCCCTCATGTGACATAGTAAATTTGTGTCTCGAGGCAGCGGTTTACTTGAGGCTTACACGAATGGAATTCAAGCACGAACTGTGTTTAAAACCTCCCTGCTTTCATTCTTGCCACTCGAAATCGAGACGTTTAATCGAGACGCGTTGCATCGAACAGCGAAATCTCGAGGGGGAAAGAAAATTTAATTTGTAGTCTCATTGAATTCGAGTATGTTTAAATTTTGTAAATAGAATTCTTTCTCTTTCTTCTTTTTAATTACTCCAAATGAATGAAGCTTGAGAATTGTAACCCTGTAACCTGGTTTTCAGATTTCGAAAAAGCAAGAAAAGAAATGACCTTTCTGACCAGAACGAACATCTCTTGAGATCGCCACGAAGTGCATTGAAGCAAGAATAATACGTAAAGCTTCTTACTTTCATACCTCCAAGCAGGAGCTTGTAACTTTCTGCCAAATGAAATGGATGAAACTCTAGCAACCCAGTTTTCACTAGAACGTAAGCTAGGACAATAATCCACTCGCATTTAGAATTTTCCTTAATGTTTCTCCCTTTTAATTTCTTTTTCTTATTGGATTATATTAAATTTGTGACACTTGTCACTGGTAATCTTCACAGAATACAACGTACCAATATTATTATTAAAATTAATATTTTATTCTTCAACGATCCTCAGTGGATAAGATCCTGGACAAGGTGTTAATCAGGGAAAAGAAACTTTTCGGATGAAACGAAAGTCAAGCAAGTGATAAAGAGTGCAGTGACAAGAAGGAGAGAGAAACGTACTATCATCTATTGTTTTCACCGACAATGGAATGCGAAACGGGCAGAAGGAAACTTCCGTTGCGCTTTCAGATTCCGATCATTAAATTGGATGGCATTGTATGCCGTAGAAATCGGGAGACAATGAACCTTTACCTCTTCTCCTTTTCTATCTTTCTTCTCTTCCTAAGGGAAACAATGAGACATCCTTCGAGGCACCTGTGTCGTCCGTACAGGTCTCTTTACGATTTTTCGAAAGCTCGTTTCCCTTCTTTCGGAAAAAAGAACTTCGATCAAACGCGGAAGTACTCCGAAACGAAGAATTCTTTGGAAGCTTTTTCGATGCGAACAACGTGAACATCTAAGAAGAAGGTGAAACGAATCGATTTTGGAATTTACTTCATTTTCAATGTCTGTTGAAAGCTGTTGGGTAAACTTCCGTCGCGATTCAATTCGAATTTTCTTTAAGGTAGGAAGAAAAGCGGAGATAGAGAGAGACGGTTCCTTTCAGCGTCCAACGTTAAGGAAGTCAAGAAGATCGAGGGAGAAAAAGGTCGTCTAACAAGATGACGAGAAAAATAAAATAAAGTATAAAGAAATCTTGCCCCTGGCATCCGACGATTTTCCATTTTCCATCGAGTCGATTTAATTGAAAGTTAAAATTACTTCGCGGATCGTTGATGACGTACGGAAAATTCTCGGATGAATTTTCTTATGGAAGTTTTCCGCATTCGAAAGATTATCACTGGATATTTAACAGGATACCGAATAGAGACTTGCTCGAACCGCTTTACGATCGCGTCCTAAATTCCGCTTCATGATTTTCAACAGCCATTTCAGCTTTCGAGACACTGGAAACGCATTCAATGGCTGTCTGTATTCAAGGGATTCTATGGTGTGGCATAAAGCCGCGAAATACTATTCAACGATTCTATTTCATAAAAATTTGTCATATATGTTAATTAAACTTGATGCGATAAACGAATAATATTTTATGCTCTAATTTGTTTGTTTCTATCATTAACATTTCTGATTAGAAAAATAAAAGGATCTGTAAAATTTATCGATCGCATAAAACTTATAATTTTATTGGAACACGATCACTGATCCTCAAACAACATTAGTCATGATTGTTTCGGCGTTTTGCTAGTCGTCTGTTGAACTAACCGACCGAAAGCGAGGCTCAACAAGGTAATTGACTCTGAGAACGAATGACAGAGCCGGGTGAAGCTGGCCAAAGCAAATGGACGGTGATTCTTAACCGGTTCGATAACGATATAGTTTTATAAGCGCGCCTTAAAATTCAAAAAAGTCTTCACAAATTAGACTAAGTAAGAAAAATGAAAATTCTGAAATCGAAATTATAGTTCACCATTGTTTCTCGATGTAAACCACTTTACATTTTCACAGTGGAACTACGATGCCAAAGGTTATGAATGAAATCGATATTTCAAAGTGCCCCAATGAATTCCAGTCAATTAAAGACTAGCAAACACTGAACGGTATTTTCGGTCAACAAAGCTATTCTAATATTAACTCTCTACGTCGAACTCACAGCCCGTTCGACCAATCATTTTAATCCCCTCGTTTAAACCCTTTTGTAAAAGCAATTTCTAACATGATTTAGAAGCCTAAACTATTGATAACTTTCTTAATAGTTTGTACAAAATATCAATAACTCGCTCGATCGTCAATTTTCCCAATCGAAAAGCACAATTTCCTTTGAATATTCTTATCATTCTTGGGGCAATAATTTTGCAGAAATTTTGTAAAACGAAAAGATGACTACTGGCAACTGTGAATTATTAATAATTCTTGAAAGTGAGGAGCAAGAGATAATTTTGTACATCCGTCACTCAAGCTTGTCTAGCATGCTTCGTGTAACCATTTGCTACACAAGATGACCGGTGAATCATCGGAAAAATCGGTCAAGCGAGTTATTCGATCTCGTAAGACAACGTGTTTATTAACGGTGAAAAGTCGGGAAACGAGATCTGGCAGACGCGGATCCGATGCAACGGCCGTATAATAACGGCCGCGTTCCTGGCTGTCGCTTGAAGCAGGGATATGTACAGTGGCAGGCAAGCCAAGAGGAAGCTGTTCTAACAAGCGCATTTCCCGTCTGGCGACACGCATTCGCCGGCTTTATCGTTGCGCGAAAATAACCGATGCTGTTCAACGTTTTGCGGTGTGTCAGCATACCATCCCGTTCCTCGTACCTTCACGAGTGGGCTGCTGTTGGCTGACCTCACCGTCTTCAGATGGGATCACAGGTGCGCGAAAAGGGAACCGTCAGTGCGAATGATAGATAAGTTCGTTAGAATTTGTCTTTGAATCACGATGCGGAGTTAATTGGATAATTGAGAATTGTAATTTCACGGTTTCGAAATTGTTCACGAGAGTAGCACCTTTCGGAACAGCTGATTTGCAACTGCAAACCTAATTATTTTATTGGAATTTCAACTCACGGTATAATTAAGGCTTGCAAATTCACGATTCTGAAATTATTAATAAAAATAACTATCTTTTGGTAATGAAAAATTAGTGGAAATGACAAGTTATTCTCTTGGAATTCTAACTCTATTTTCGAAATTATTTGTGAATGTAGGTGACTTCTGAGGAGCTACAAATGAGTCTCTCAAAGTGACGACTGAACAAGAATAACACATCAGTCTATTAGAATTAGAATTTAAATAAAGATACAAAAGCAAAGTGCAGTAACCCGAGGTCCAAATTTTTGAAATTTTTTACCATGGTGTTCCAATGTATGGAGAAAAATTGAACAATTAATTTAGTGAAGTTTTCAATAGAAATAAAAGCATCGAGGAAACAAACTCAACACTTTAGTTTCGATTCGATGACAATCCCTCCGGTTTCATAACGCGAATTTTATAACGCCTCTGGTGATTTGCGCGAGATTGCTTTTTTCCAAACACCAATTCGATTTTCGTGTACAATTTTAATATTGTACGATTTCTATAATAAAATAAACAATGTTGTTTAACGTAAACGTAACGAATCGACGCGTTAACGAAACATCGCATTAAAACAATTCGCAGACACGAATGTACAAAGCAAATATTCTCCAATTTCCGCGCGCGATATTGACTTTGTTTCCACGAATTTTCAGGCGCGAACGATAATGATTCTCGACAAAATCATTATGTGAATTGAACAAAAGTACTCGAACACTTTTGCCCCGGCTGTTTGTAACGAGCACGCGAGAGATGCTCGTTTTATTGGCGAATGATAAAATATGGAACTGTCGTTGTATTAGGTGGATCACAAATTTAATCGTCAATTCGAATCGCGTACAAATTGTGCCGAAACTGTGCCAAAATACCAATGAAATGCACAATTTTTCATGCCACGCATGCGTTCGCAATTGTAATTAATTTCATTATAATTAATTACTAATTACGAGCGTTCTAATTTGTCTCGTGAAACGCGACTCGATGCATCACTGTCTCGTTTGTTTATCAATTTTTTCCAATTGTAATTAATTTTATTTCATGAACGAGTAATAATAATTTGCTTAAATTTCAATCGCTACTTAATGAGCTAACGTAGAATTCTAAAAATATTGCAATTTATAATTTGAGCTTTTGAGAAGTTGAAGAAAAGAAAGTATCATAAAACAGTTTCGAGTTGTCGAAGATAAAAAAGCTGATGGAATTTTGGTGCTACCCGATTCGGTGGTAAAACACTAGAAAGCGATGTTAACTCCCCTTAGAGCTGGTATTGAGGCGAACGCGCTTAAAAACTCATTAGGAAAGGCCGATAAAAAATTTTTGGACTTACCGCAAACTGCAACACCAGTGGAGCCTCGTAATTCTTGTCGACTCCGCAGAAAGTCGAAATTACACCGCTAATTAGCCCCGCTCCGTGGATCCACCGGGAGACACTCAAATACCAACACTCTTCCCTATCAAAGGGTCGTTTAAGTACACGACACCATCCATTTTCACTGTTTCGCTCTAAGCAGTTTATCTAGACGCAACAAAAAAAAAACCCGAAAATGACTACAATTTTCTGTTTGTAATTTTTGTTAATTAATTTCTAGTAGAAATTATTATTTTTTAGTATTGGCTCAAATGAAATTATATTTAATCAACACGAAATTGATATTCCCTTTGAGGACGATTTTAACAATTTTTTAATTCCTCATTTCTCTGCATTAAAATTAATTTTCATATTTGATTTAATTCCACGTTTCGACGAATTCCCTTGAAAAATCCATTTTTAAATCCAACATTTCAACTCCCTGTTGGTGAAATAAATTTTTCATTCGAATCATCCCAATCTCCAGATACAAATCGAATCAGTCACTCAACTTTTCGTCGTATACTTTCAAGAAAATAGCTTTCGAGTGTCAAAAGAAAATCGCGACTTCCCAAGAGTCCTCTTTCAAGAACAACGAACGTTTTCTCACGACCGGCCGTCTCTCTGCGATCCTCCCTTTGATCCGTCCACCATTTTCATGCATGTTTCATTCATTTTTTTTTTTGTTTCTTTGCCATCGATCTTTTCAACGCTTCCCGCCCACGATTGCTTTATTGTCGTTGACGTGCATTATTACGCTTAATGGGACCACGTTTGCGGCGTCCATTAATAGTATGCTCGAAAACGTTCGCCTTATCTTGAGAGAGCTATTCTCTAACGAACTCACAAGGTATTCCATTCTGCCTGGGTCAATCGTGACCCTACGAAGATGAAAATTAGACGCTCAGAAATTTCTGAATGAAAGGCTTTCAAATTTGGAAACAAATTTAAAATGAAATTTGAACTCTAAATCAAGGGTTGATCTCTTCAACTATTTTTCAAGAAATATTATAAAATGTTAATGAATATATAATTTTGTTTAAAAATCCAGAAATAACCGTGAAATTTCAAAGACGAATAGTTCAAGAGCGATAAAAGAGTAAGAGAGACGCGAACTTGATTTATCCACGACATCATTATTTTCTTCAATAATGGTTGAATCCATCGAATATTCGACGAATTTCATTTCCAGCACGGAAATCGCAATGACGCGTCTCTGTCACGGGTACATCGAAAAAGACCCTCCATTTATCAATAACGTTTGCCTGATTTTCATATCGAATTTCAATAGTCGAATAAACAATATTTTGCAATATAAATGTTAATGATATGAAAATCATTTATAAGAAACCTAATTATTCTCGACACTGACTCGAACCAATACTAAATCAATCAAATATTCAAAACCTTAAAATTTTTAATTACATCACTGTTAATTACATACTTCTCACCTAGCCACACTTCGATACTTCACTTCCGGTTTCAATTAATGAAAAATTATTAAACACGATTCTATATTGAACAGTATTGAACGAATAATTTTAATCGAACAGTAAAAGAGGTATAATAAGATTAATAAGAAATTGTTTATGTTAAATGGTTGAGAAACACGTGGTAGTAAGATCACGGATCAATTCGCGTGGTGATCCTCGAGGTTCGTCGGATCGCGTAGCCGATAAGCGGATGTGGGACGGGCCACAACATATCCGCTCGCAACGACGGCCGGCGTCAGACTGCCTCGTCCGCTACAGCCAAGGGTATTATCGACGGCGGGACACATCGGCTGCTTTGGATAAACATTCGCCACCGTCGACTACCGAGGTAAACAAAACGATCGAACCCTGTTTTCGAAACTATATAAGACCTTCTCTATCGTGCGGAATTCAACACTACGAATATTTCAAAATTTATCAACTCTTTTCTAATTATTACGAATAATTAGCAACGTGTAAAATGTGGAAAATGTACAGTTTTATTATAATTTTTAATTTTCTGAATCAGTTGTAATTTTGAAGTAAATTTTTAATTTTCTTTTATTCGAATGAATTATTAACAATCAAAGAATTTTCAGGATTCTTCGAACAAGAATACCAGGAACCATTTTAATTTGCGGAACATCCCAAAAGTAAACAGATTGAGTAAATATTTGTGAGGACAATGCGAGGGAGGACCAACTATGAGAAATCGAATTGCTTCGTAAACTTTAATATACAAAGAGGAAATCGTTTGGAACGAAAACGAATTAGCGACGCCATTCTTTGACACCGCTCTCTGCCTTTTATTTGCCACTTTTTTGTCCCTCTGCACACACCCCTTACCCTTTCGAATAACCCGATTTCCGTTTATATATCGAGTTACCGAAAACCGCGTTAATTAAGGCTCCAATACCGTTGAACAGTCACTGAATACAGCACTTTTTATTTAACACATTGAATACCATGGAGGTCATCGTTGACCGATACCGCAAATTACGTATAATTGTTCGTAAAATTATGATCATAATTAGTATAAACGCTTCGCGCTATTATGCTAATAGAGCAAGATAATAAATAGATAGATTGAAATTTAAAATTCAGAAATTAACTGTTTTTGTTTTTAACAATTACAGTGTCAATCATTAAAATAGAATTGAAGGCGTTAAAAATTATCTAATATCCAAGTCTAAGTTACTTTGACAATTTCTCAACTCCTTCCAATTTCGAGTACAAACTGCCAAGTTCCTGTCCAAAGATTCCATCCCGAAATTAGGGTCAAATATTGCACATCAATTAAGGTTATCAACTACACTATAGATAGCGATACATCAACTTGTCGTTACAAACAAAGTAGCTAAGAACGTCGTTAGCTGGTGTACGAAACGAGTGCTCGAGGAAAACGTTTCTTTGTTGACAGCATCTAGATCGTTTTATACAAACGAATCGACGCGATAAATTTTCCGCGATAAAACGTTGCGCTTCTTCCCGTGAGGACACGAAATCGCGAACTTGGAAACGAGACGATCGATCAACAAGCAGATGCGCGACAAAAACAACTTCACTTTCGGGACAAGAACGCCACTCCTTGCTGCTTCCTCGGGAAATTTCCATGGAAAAGGTCGCATTCCGCCTAAATGCGGCCCGTTTCGACAGGCATGTTCCTCTTTTCAGAAATCCTGCACCCTTCTTTTTTTCTCTGGCTCATTACACGACACAGAATTTTACGGACCCTTCCCTGCTCACGTTCTCCATTCGAAAGTTGGTCGATTTTTTCGAACAAAGTTCTTATCTCTTTTCGATAAACTGAATCACGTTCACGGGATACGATTCCTGTATTCTGTATTTTGGTATATCGGTTCGTTTGTTAAAAATTAATTCCTCGCAAAATTATTATTAATAAACCGAAACGATTCCTAAATTCGAACGTAATTTCGCACGCGATGCAAACTATTTATAATACCGTAATGCCAGAGGCAGGCTGCACGTCAGCTGGAAATTACCTTCAATTACCAGAAACGGTTAATTATAACTCTGAATTAATTAGACCCGTAAGCGTCGTCGCGGGCAGGTTTGAGTCCTCTCGAAAGTTGCCCGCATTTTCGTGCGTTCCAGCGTATCTGCACGCTGAGATTCTTCAGTGTAATTGGTCAAAGTCCCTCTAACTCTATCCTCGAGATCTCCTTCTCTCTTTCACCCCGAGGTAATGCCGGTCGAGAGGCGATAAAATTGTTAACTGGCTCGTTAGACGCATACCGACCTAATGGAACGAGCAATCGTTTCCAGACTGTTTCGTTTAGAAAAACAATTTTGATCCCGTTCAATGACCTCTCCTTGATCATTTAATTCTAGAAACCTGGGTCAATCGTGATCCATACTAATTAAAATTATTTCACTAAAATTTTCGATCCTTTTATTTTAGGATCCCTATTCTCTGAACGCCTCCATCTATTTACGTTCGCGAAATAAAAATTGAAAAGCTAAAATTTCAAGAATAGAGAAGTTTCGGATTAAATTTACATTGCCCGAACCGCCCACTGTCCAAGGGTTGCAACCCGAACGACCAGTCTCCGCTTATTTAAAACCCTCTTTGACCCCGATCCCACCTTGAAATCGAACACGGTGCGGTCAGACGCGACCCGAAGCGTTTTATCGATTCGAGAAACACAATTCAGGCCCGGGCTCGGTGTTTCGGATCTAAATTGTCACCGCGGCAAGAATGCACCGCGAAATGCAACACCGTTCGGTGAAACATTGCCAAAGAAAATACCGGGAACTAAAGGGGTCGTTCACCTGGTACGGGCGAATTTGGATTCTGGCAAACGAGACGGGCATTCTTTTGCAACCAGGAAATAGGATTCCTGTTCCACTATAATACCATTGTTCTGAATGCAATGAATTTATAAACTGAGATCGTGAAGAGGTGAAAAAAAATTCTTGAGAATCTCAGGTTTGTAGATTTAATAAAGATAATACTTTTGAAAGTATTAAAATAATAATGACTCTTGAAAATGAAGAACATGCAACAGTATCAAAACGTTGAATCTTAATTAAAATTACAATCCTTCGGGAAGTTGAAAATTCGGAGACTTAATTAAAAATTCTTGAGATATCAATGATCCTTGAAAAAGGGAAACACTCGACGGTATGAAAAGTTTCATTACTCTTTCACGTCGAGGAGATTACTCAAAGCAAATTGAAATTAACCGAGTCGTTAAATTATGTATTTCCGTGACAGAAAAAAAAAAAGGCCGTCTTAAGCATTTAATAAAATGCTGAAAGCTTGCGGCGCACTAATTTCCACGATATTACAGTGGATTCACGAGTTTTCGCGAACGAACGCGTCGTGGAATATTAAAAGCATCGTCGCCCGGTGTCCTGGAAGATAGGCGAGCGTGCTCGAATAACTTTGCCAATTAAAATCACGGTCGTTAAACGCTTTCCAGCGTCGCGCGACCACGCATGACACTACCACGCAGCTACCGTAACCTTCTTTCTGTCCTAGTTCGAGCTTTTTCGGAGCCGGCTGCTTCATTCCTCTCCGAGGAACACGCTCAACGCTGATAACAGCATGTCCCGCGAGCAACATTGCCCTCAAACTTCGTTTCAACGCGAAAATAACCCCCTCGTGATCTTACGTCGTCGACGAGATATTTTTACCATCGTTGGAATATTTTAACCCGTGCAGAAAGGGTGCAGGGTCATATTCGCCGAGTTATAAAAATAAAATGTATTTTTATATTTGCAGATAAATTGAAATTCTGGTTTCTTTCAACCCTTATCAAAATATTCGATCCATCGTGAAAACCTCGAGAGGCTTTTGTTCAAATGAAAGGAAGAAGTATTCATTGATTTTCTTAAAATATGATGAGAAATTAAGTTACTCACAAGATGTTATCCCAGACAACTTTCCATCGACGTCTTAACGAAGCCTTTCGGAAAGCCTCGGTGGTGAACCGTGATGGAATTATCCACTTCATTTCCCGGCTTTCCATGGTGACGAAAGTAATTTAGCTTGTATTAAGTGTCCAGGGACGAAAGGAGCGTCTGTGTTCCAGTAACTCTTTGAGCCACTAAGATGAAAGATCTGAAACACCGTAGTTACTCTCTTATAGAACTATTTATCGTTTATCCGATGTGGAAAATTATTAAAATCTTTATAAAAGAAAAACGTTTGAAAATAGAATTGTATGTAAAACAGATGGGAAATATTATCATAGAAATTTTCCCGTTCATTTATGAATAAAATTGCTTAATTAATTATAAAAATGATTATTCTCCGAGGCTCGTAGAATCGTCTGTTAAAATAGCCATAAATCCAGTCATTTTCCAAGATTCCCAGCTTCGGAGTGTCCATAGTTTGAAGAAATTCCTCGTCAGCGTTCTCCAGGGGCGTAAGCCGGGCAATTTGAAACGAGGTAAAACGCGCTGGTAAAATTAAACGAATCTTCGGGCTCGTTTTGCACGCTTGGATACTTTTAAAACTTTGTTCGTCTGGTAGCTTCTTCTTCGCTTACACGGTTATAAAAGTTACAGCTTCGTCGTAACAGCTGGTTCCTGTACGGGACGAGCAAGGATATCCGACGATTTTCGCACGGAACAAGGACGAAACGAGCGCAAGATTCCGGGAATATGTAATTAACGAACGACGCCGTTGGGAGCAGCCAGCAGCACGGTTTTCAGGAATGAACGCGTGCTAGAGATCGAAAATTTTGTAATTTATTGAAAAGTTCGTCCAAAAAATTTAAGCTGTTCGTTATATTTGAAACTAAAGGTCTGAAAGGTCTGTTACATCAAATGTTTACTATTTGAAGGATTTCGTGTTCTTAGAAATTCCGAAGAATACAAAACAAAGGGGAAGAAGTAAACACGAATCTGTTGAACGAATAATAAGGCTGCTATCAACAACGTCCAACGATTTACAAGTAACCGAGACTGGTGGAAATTGTTACCACCACAATTATACAGTTATAAATATTGAAGCAGACTTCATTGCGACGTTTCCAAGAGGATATTAAAGACGACGAAAACTTTCCGTATAGTAATTATACGAATCCGTTTGTCTGATCCTGAGAACCAAACAGATGCTACCCGTCGCTGATTTGGTATTAAAACAATTCGCCTGATGTCGAAACGCTTTGTCCGCTGAACTTTCGGTATTTCGTTTCTCCCGATTTTTATTGCTACAATACTTCTATGCAACAACCGCTTTCCAGAACTGTATTAAAGAGGAAGATGAAAAATTGAGTAACGAACTTAGAAAAGATTCT